ATGAGTGTAAAGGCAAACATCCTCAATGAAGTATTATTATAGCAAACTCAACCCCCAACCACATATACAAATTACTGTATACTACAATGAAGTAGGATTATTCTAGGAATGTAAGGTTCGTTTAACATAAGGAAATGAATTAATGAATTAATTTAATATATTATATTAATAGGACAAAACTTTGGGTAAGTCAAAGCCCTCATAGTTATGACATCAAAAGTAAAAGTGACAAAAACGTCATAAATTGAATTACATCAAAATTTAAAATTTTTATGTTGCAACTACCGTCAAAAAGAGAAATGAGAACCCACAGAAATGGGAGAAAATATTTGAAAATTATATATATGATAACAGACCATCATCAATAATAGTTGAAAACACATCTCGATAAAAGAAAGCCAAATAACCCAATTTAAAAACTGACCAAGAATTTGAATTAGACATTTCTTTAAAGAAGTTGTTCAAATGGCAAACAAGCCCAAGAAAAGATGCTCAGATCAGTAATGATTAGGCCCTATTTTGCCCTTACAGCTGCAGGGCCCCACTGGGTTACAGAAATACTAATCAAAACTCCAATGGGGCAAAAACTCACCTTTATGAGGATGGTTATACTTGAAAACGACAAGAATTGGTGAAGCTATGGAAAAACTAGAATCCTCATACATTGCTGGTGGGAATGCATAATAGTACAGTGGCTTTGAAAGTCTTTGTTGGAAACTCAAAAACTTAAACCTAGATTTGCCAGATGATTTAGCAAGCCCACACACACATATATGTACATGTATATGTGTGTGTGTGTGTATATATATAAAAGAACAACAACATAAAATCACACAAAGTTTACACACAAATATTAATAGCAGCATACTCACAAAAAGAAGAAATACAAATGTCCCTGAACTGATGAATGCATAAACAAAATGGGATATTACTACACAATAGATCATCATTCTGCCGTACAAACGGGTGAGGTAGTGATTTATGCTGTGCCATGGATAAACCTTGAAGACCTTGAGCTGCGTGACAGACGCCGGACACAAAGGACCCTGTATTATATGATTAAATTTATGGGGAATGTAGAATAGTCATTTTTACATAGATGGGAAATAGATTATTGTTTATTTAGGACTGTGGAAGAGGAAGTAATAGAAATTGATTGCTAATAGTTACAAAGTATCTTTTAGGAGGGACAAAAATGTTCTAAAATTAAATGATGGTGATAGTTGATCTTCTGAAGATATTAAAAACATTGAATTGTTCACTTTAAATGATGAATTAGGCCAGGCACGGTCCCTCATGCCTGTAATTCTAGCACTTTGGGAGGCCCAGAGAGGGTAGATTGCCTAAATTTGGGGGTTCAAGATCAGCCTGAGCAAGAGTGAGACCCTGTCTGTACTAAAAATAGAAACACTCGCCTCGCTGGTTGTTGTGGCAGGCATCTGTAGACCTAGCTACTCAGGAGGCTGAGGTGAGAGGATCACTTGGCCCACGAGTTTGAGGTGGCTGTGTGTAGTAAAACAATTATGGAGCAATATGTTCTTAGAATTCATTGTATTTGAAGAGTAATTACCTAATAAATTTATATCAGTTAATTTTTATTCATGGCATTCTTCCCAAGCAGGTTGAAAAATTTCTAAGGGTAACTAAAAAACTAAAAACTAAAAATGTCTAAGGTAACTAGAAGTTACCT